CGTCGCATTGTCCGTGGGATTGTTTTCACTCATTTTTTACAATTGTTGTGCACTAAGTTTGAAACTAAAAAGTACTATCCTATTAAACAATGTGTGTATCAAATCAAACTAAAAAAATATTTATAGAAAAACAATACTTTTATGATTCTTATTATTTTTATGCTAGTGAGAACCAAAACAATATGGAAATAAAAGGGAAAACTGGATCCTACCACGTGATTTCCCGGCCAATAAAAATGTAGCGTTAAACGTTTAACGCAACCTTGTTGGAAGTCGCATAAGAAGTATAACTTCAAAAAAAAAAAAAAAATTGCCCCTTTTTTTAAAAGGAAAAAGTCGACTTTTGAAAAAGTGACTGAACTGCCGCGAATTGAGTATCAAAAAGTTATTAGTTATAACTACCAAAGACGAGTTGTACTATCGTCAGGAAGTTTAAAAAAGAATAACAACGCGAAAATTAGTGGAAAAGTTTGCCGGAAAATGATTTAAATAGGATCTAGATTTACGATGGAGTCGGGGCGAATCACGCGTATTTTATTCTTTTATATTAGGACTGAGACAAGTCGACACTTTTGGCGACTGAAATTTGATAGTTTGGTAGCCATTTTCTATGTTATAGTCCAGGGCCAGATCTTGAAACGTGGTAACCCTGGGCACAAAACTCTCAAGGGCCACCGTCTCGTAACTTTGAAACCAGATTTACTTGTTTATTTACGAAGTTCCTTTAAATTATTTATAACATGAGTGAATGACGAGATTATATTTATTACAATTTTTGCTAAATCAATATTCTAAAAGACAATTTTTGAAGAAAAACACAATGAGAAATTATTTGACGTTTTTAGAGGGCCCTCAGAAATGTGGGGGCCCCAGGCCTGGGCATCTCCGCCCTTATGATAAATTAGGCACGGTGATGATCGCCAGTTGGAGTCTGGCGATTTCTAATCTAGAGCTCGGTTCTGAGATCTATTCCGTATGAGCAAAGAGCAGACTTGGCTGTCAATAGTTGATTTTCCAACTAACCATAAACAATTGCCCATACTTAAGTCCTTAAATAATCCCACAAGAAAAAAAAATATCAATGGTTTAAGAATTTTCTGTTATCGATCGCAATTTTAAGGGGATATAGGCCAACCTTTTCATTGTATTTAAAACCTTGTTATTTTTCTTCCAGTGGGGTTATTTAACGAGGAAAGTTACGCAAATTCTTCCTGGAACTCGCACAATAAATCATGTCAACAATTTTAAAAACTATTCGATGTCAAATATATACTATTTTTAAAACTATACTAACTCTAAGAAAATGAAAAACAAAAATTATTTTTTAATTTCAGAAAAAGAAAATTGTTTTTTTGGATTTTTATAAAAAATAAATTTATTTTGACCCAAAAAAATTCTCAATATTTGTCAATATTCAAACGCTAGTAAGAATTTGAGCAACATGCCATATTCAAGCCAATTACCAAGTTTGAATCAGGTGAAAAAATTTGAATTGAGAATTAAAGACAAAATTCTAAATCAAAAACTTCAAACAAAAAAAAATAGTTTGCATACAAATCCATTTAAAAAAATGAGTGTTATTTTCTGTTTTTAGTGAGTGGATTTCAGTATTTTTGTCGTAAATAAGGAAGACTTTGAATATTACTTTATACTTGATGTCAAATTTCTCAAAATAAAGTAAGGTAAGTCGAAATTTTCGTTAGGAAAAATCATCTAGACCGCTTAAAGATGAACATCTCCTAAGCTCTTTATCATTAATTTCTAAAACTTGATTTTGATATATATCATTAAAATCATTTCATCATCTTGATCGTTAGAATCATTTGTATCAAAATTTTGAATAGTTTCAAACACCACTCTATTAGATAGTCATTGTTGCTGATGTGCGGTGCACCAAAATAAAAAAAAGGACTACTCTAAATAACTTTTGATCTAATGATCGGATCTCCACGTTCTAGGACTCAATCTTAATGATTCGAGAGTTTGATCTCCAAATATGCTAATTAATTATGCAGACGATATTTTAAGTTACGAAATCAGACATAAAAACGAACTTTCTCTGAATAAACATGTCTTCTTTCGAATGTAGGGAGATGCTGCAATCTGGGGAATATGGTCCCCATAGTTTGAATGGGAGAGCGATCTAAAAATTGGATCGCTTAACTTTTTGCGTATTTAGCCATGACAAAAGAACTTTTCAAGCCATTTGAAAACATTTCGCACAAAATTATAAAATTCGCTTATCCGAAGATAATATAAAGCAAGAAATAAATTTTTGTAAGTATTTATTTTTTTACTGAATTTTAGTTAAAACATTTTAAATTGTTAGGTATACAGTTTTTTATGTTATTTTAAAGTATGTCATTTTACGAGACAAAATACAAAATTTGAGTGAAATCGGTTGAATATAGTTCCTAATAAATCAAATTTTAAAGATATTTGAAATCCGATTTTTCAGGAGCTATTCAACCGTTTTCGCTCATATTTTGTATTTTGCCATGCAAAATTACGCACTTTAAAATGGGGTAAAAAATGAATATCCTACACTTCTAAAATGTTTCGACTATTATTTAACAAACAAATAAATATTTACTTACATTTATTTTTTGCTTGGAATTATCGTTGGATAAACGGATTTTATAATTGTGTGCAAAAATTTTTCAATTTACTTCAAAAGTTCTCGAGACATGGCGAAATACAAGTAAAATTAACATTAAGGGGATCAAACTTTGGATAGCTCTCCTGACCAAACTATGGGGACCATATATCCCAGATTGCCGCTACCCCTTATATTTTGGGGGTCAGAAATTCGAATTCGCTGACGAAAAAAGGAATATTTATTCAGAGAAGGTACGTTTTTATGTCTGATTTCGTAATTTAAAATATCGTTTGCATTAATTAATTAGCACAGTTGAAGTCAATCCCTCGAACCATTAAGAATGAGTCCTAGAACATGTAGATCCAATCATTAGATCAAAATTTATACAGGGCGGTCCTTTTTTTTTGACACACTGTACATCTCAGGTAGTTCCTGCTTAAAATATCGCAATGATATTTCATTTTGTTTCAAGAACTCGATGTTTTTTTTAAAAATAATTAAACTAATAATAATAATACTTTAAAATAATTTCTTTAAGGGATCGAAGTTCTCCGTTCTAATTTTTCCGGATAAAAGTTTTTCTTGATTTACGTCATCTTTATACTGTGTCAAAAAAAGATAATTTTTTTTGTATCTACAAAGTAGGTTGTGGGTACTAAAAAGTGTCAAAGTAAAAAGACTATCTTGAGTATTCATCTAACTCAAAAAGAAGTACTTCTAAAGTACCTATTTAAATACGTTTGAACTTTTTTTGTAGTAATCACATTATAAATAAAAGCAAAACAATTGTAGCATCACATTTTAATTACAAAAAACACATTATAATTAGATAATAACATCACATTTCAAAATACTAGGGAACCAATTATTCTCACATTAACGCTTAAAATAATTATACATAAATAAAAATACAATAAAAAAGTTTGTATATAAAATAAGTTCTGACATATTAACCATTCGTATTTTTAACTTATTTTCATACAAAGTTAGAGAAAGAATTATTTGGCTGCAGTACACGATTAGATAAATACAGACAATTAAAAATCGGGCTTAACGAATTCAGTCCAGTGGCTGGACCGGCTAAGTGTGAATCACTATTCGAGCTCAGCTCAAGTGACTAGCCAAAGTTGTAGTTGTTTGAGGAAGGTTTTAGTTACATTCATACAATTGCTGACAAACACAGAACATTACAAATACAATATTACAAAAGAAACATTTACAATTAATATACAATGATTTTATTTTTGATGTTTTACAATAAATGTAAGGCACAAGTTCAGTTGTTTTTACCAATATACAGTATTGGTTTAATTTCACTTCTTCATTAATCTCAATGTCATTGGTATAATAAATAATCTCCACCAGGACTGAATAAATTATTTTTTTGAAAAGAAAATTAGGACTGTATGGCACCAGGTAGAAATTTCTCTGACAAAATGCCCTAGGGCTTGTTTAAAAATTAATTTAAAAATTGTCTATTATCATTTCACACTAACAATTAAGCAGAAGATGTGTTATGAAAAATAAATTTATTAACAATTGCTCAGAAAAATTATTCATTTTCATTTAGTTCTGTTTAGAAATTTTTGTTAGAAAACATTAAACACATTTCATTTGTATACTTATAATTATTGATGTAAAAGTATATTCATATATCAAATTTTTATTATTATTGTTAAAACCTTATCTTCACTTCGTATTTTATTGATACCAATTTTCTTTTATATTCAGTATAAAATTTATAAAATAGTTTGTTTCGCCAAATATATATAGATTGTCAAAACTCTGTAATTTCAACAGTTATGATAGACAGTTTTTGGACGCGTGTACAACCATTTATCACTTATATCAGACTTCTATTATTGTACAATTTATTGAATATAGTTTAATGCAGTTTTGCGAAAGGCTTTTTTTTTCTGTGCGATTTCAATTACATATTGCTCAATATCATTTTTAAAAAAAATGCAGGTTTAAATAATTAATTGAAATACGTTCATATATTCTATTAATTTTAGACTTGCAGTCACAATGATTATGCATTGTAACCGTGATATTGCAAATTATTAATTTGTAAGTATATTAAAATTCTGTTTGCGCGGCAAATGTCTTAAGTATTTGCATTTTTTTTTAAATATTTGTATACTTTATTGATTTCTAAGGCATTTATGATATATGTCAACATAACTACCTTCTCTTTTTACCAAAAATCATTACAATAAATAATTTCCAAATTGGTAATCATTCTGCCTTGTCTTTAAATGTTTCCTCGAATCTGTCATGTTGCAAAACGGATGGCATTGAGTATGAAGTGGTTTGAACTTATAAACGTGGCACAAAAATATATATTTGTTCTTTAAATACTTAAAAATAAAACTAAATCACAATGGCATTTGAAATTCTCTTACGTAACCACTATTAAGTCGTGANAAAAATAAATAAAATTAATTCTTAAAAAACCATGCTGTTTCTGCAAACTCTCCCACCTCCCATTATAACCCGCTTTATTATCTTTGTGGGCACAGTGATAAGCGCCCATTCGAGAACCTTTCAAATCGTCATCGTCGACGAACCCAGGATTGACATGGTCTTGCCTTTCCCGAGTTCTTGGCGAGTCACTTGGTTGGCCCACCGCTGTAAGCTTGGACGAGCTTCCGTGCAGCTGGTGTGAGTGGTCAATGATTTCATCATTGCCACGCCAGCTACCGTCACTACTTTCACCACTAGTGCCGATGCCCTGATCCAAATCTCCATTATCAGTCCAAGTAGCTGTTGTCTTGTACTTGGGCTCTTCTGTGATAATGGACAAGTGAGGATCGGCAAGTGTTCTGTAGGTCGGTGTTTTACCATCATGGTTAGCAAGTATGTCATTTTGCTGGGACGTTATATAAAATGGAGGAGTGCCTTCTTTTTCAGGCTTCTCCCTCCTGGATCCTGAGCACCAACCATCAGTCAATGATAGCAAAACAGGTAGTAACAGGAGACCGTGTACAGCTGCAAATAATATCACTAGAAAAACAGTTTTGAAAAATACTGAAAATATATATGAGGGGGCAGCATTAAGTACAACGATGCCCAGTATTGTAGAAACGCTCCCTTGAGCAATAGGTAATCCCAATGAATGCAGAGCAGTTTTCATTCGCTCATTCGGATCTTTGTTGGTAGAAGATATGAAGGCATACGTTATGTGGGCCGAATAGTCAACAGAAAATCCTATGCATAGAATTAGGTTTATCATAGATATAGCATCCAGATTTACATTCCATAAACTCATAAATCCGACCACTCCGATTTCAATCGAAAATATAGAGAAGGCTACCCATAAGGCACAATTAGGGTTGGGTATGAAGAGGAATGATATGACCATCATTACTGCCGTCGCTACACCAACCGCCTGTATGGACGTTTCTTTAATTAATAAGAACTGATCAAACAACACGAACAGCTGATTGAATACTACAACGGGCAAAGTTGAATTAGCGGCTATAGCCCTTAGCTCTATCAGCATATTCTTTTCGTCATTCGCATCCATAATGTTTTCTGTTTGCAAAACGAATCGAGCAGCGGTAATTTCAGTAAAATCTTCGTTAAATTTTATATCCTGTTGGAAATAATTTTGCGACAGCCTGAAGAAAACTTGCCGGATACCTTTGTAAAAATCTTCTTTCAAACTCATGTTGTAGCCCTGCAGAAAAACTTGCGTTCTGGAATCTTTCATGAATCTGTGGTATATTCTTAACCACGATTCAGTGAATCTGTTTCCAGCCATCAATCGATTATTCTCTAATCTATGCAAGAGCTCCTCAACTTCTTCTTGGACTTTTGGATCGGAGTAATCAAGGGTTTTGTTTATAATTACTTGGATCCGATAAGGGTATTTTCTGAAATATTTGTCCTCGAAGTCATAATAATCAAGGGAATAAGAATCGTATCTCGCCATTTTGAAACGCTCCAAGCCTTCTTTTACTTTGGTGCAACCATATAATCCAACTGAGAGGTAGATGAGGAAGAAAAAGATAACCGTCATCTTTACGGATTTCTTACTTAAAAATACTCCGAGCTTGTCTCTAAAAAATTTCATCATCATGTTTTCTTCATTATCCAGAGGATTATCAGGATCCAAAGGATTTCTTCCACCCGTACAGAAAAGATTATAGCATTTACCTCGATCCTCTGAAATAGAAAGAAATCAATTAGGATTGCACTACAAATCTTTATAATTTTAGACCTGTATGCGAAGTGGAAAAATTCATGTCTTGTAACATATTTTCTTTGTAAATTAAAAGTTGGTTGTTTGCTTTTTATTTGAATTTATCAAGAATTATTAATTTATGAAGTTAAGAAATTGCTCCAAACATACCATTCTTCAGCAAAAATCATTACCAGCACTTTTTTTTTACGATAAACAATTTTCATTGAAGAGATGACATTTAATAGGATCTGGGTTTGACAAGCTTATAAGCAAAGATTTATTTTTTTAAGTTCTTATATAAAGCTGAAAACTGTTTTGGATGAAAACTATTATTTAGCAAACAGTTTCTTAATGTTTCAGTACATTCTAAATTTGACTTTTTCAAACTCTCTAAAATGACTAATCCCTTTGCACGTTCTTTCCTAAGCTTTACAACCTTTAATATAATTTTTTTTTCGTCTACAGAGGGGTCAACTTTCCAAACTAGCTATCAGCAATCAAAAGTATAATAGTACAGGAATACATGCTGTTAGTGTTTACGAAATTTGAAAGAGCGTTATTTTAAGGTATATATACTACTTAATTCTGTATAGGTTTATTATTAAGATTGTGCATGAATTTACAATTAAATATAAAAGTTATACAATTAAATATATTAAAAAGCTTACAATTAAATATAAAATGCAAAGATAAAAGTACTAAAAAAAAGTACACAACACTAAAATTTTATGCTGCATTATAAAGTGATAAATTAAATTGATTGCCTGGAATTAATGTTCTAGTTTTTGAATAAAATAGGAATAGCATTTTTATCATCCTGCATTTAAGCCACTAAACGTTTTTCCTCACACTATTTCAGATATGAGTTTATGTTAATTTGCTTTTTGATATAAAAAGATCATTAAATTTCAGAATAGCTTGTTGGAAGTGGAAGAGATGAGATGTTTCTTTATTTTTTTATTTCTTGTTTCTAAGAACATGTTGTTTTTTTTCGAGTTCCCTTTAAGGTGTAAAAAAAATTGCTGATAAGTTGCAAACGAAAAAATTTAAAAAAAGGAAACGCTCAATTTAAACAGATTATTATGGAAATTCTCAAAAACCGTAATTTTTATATCACTCAACCACCATAAGACCGTAATCTTGATTATGAAATGGTAAACATTATGAATAAATCGTAATTGTTGGCACCTCTGCGCTTACAATGCATTTATCTTGACTACTAAAGGAAATTTAAACTTCATGAAACTAATAAATTACGTTCAAGACAACAACTCTGCCATTGTTCTAGAATAAAGTAAAGTCATAACGGAATACCCGGAGATTGCCAAACACTGCAATTAAACCGATATTGCCATTGCCGATCACAATGCTTACTCAAAATATCCTCAGTGGTAGACGGATCATGGGTTAGAGTCCCCTTACCGCCGGGAAGTTTTCGTGATTTTTCTTTCCACGTAACGCAAATATGAATTAGTTTCATCAAAAAGTTCTCCAAGACAAATTTTTCCAATTACTTGATCCTGGAATTCCCTTGACTTCTGGATTGGGTTTAAAATGACAAGGCTACGGATTTTGTTTAATCAACGTTCAAGTAATATTCGAATAAACCTACTGGAAATATTACGATTGCTATACAATTATGCTTATTTTTAAAACGCGTTTAGAAAATAATTACAAAAATAAAAAAAATTAAAACTTATAAAATAGTCAAGTAAAATTTCGACAGTTTCCAGATTCGCTTTCCGTCTTATTTGAAGACTGCTAAGATACTGAAATTCTCAATTCAATAATAGTTGAAAAGTAATAGGATTTTTGAAAGTGATTGGGAATAAGACTCATTGAATCATCGTTAGTGCATTTCAGCATTTTTATTATTCTTTTATTTTTAATTTCGTGCATACAATTTTTTGTTTAATGAAAATGTAAATAGAATTTGGAAATGATTCAAAATTAAATTGGTGGAACAAAAGGAGAAGTTATGATTAGATACTATTAGATATCGGGCCGCGACCAGTTTGTCTGGGAAGTAAAGTTTGGAAGTTGGTCACGAAATTTTGAAGCCCTAACATTCATGAGCCCCCTGGTCTACACCGGGGTGTTGGCGGAATGCCTTACGATTAATTTCCTTTTTTCCAGTAAGTATAACAAGTTAAGAGTATTATTAAAAAATAAATAAAATTAATTCTTAAAAAACCACGAATGAATTAAATCTTAAAAAAATCATGAAGTGATTAAACAATGATTCGTTGAAAACTAATTCCAAAGAGCATTTAAGGGAACTTTTTAGGACAAGGCGGGTAATATGTAAGTAGTATTTTCAAAATTGTACTTATCTGAACTTGATTTCAAGAAACTTCAAATTTTAAGACAAAAATTATTGTAAGATTACATAAAAAAAGGTAATAAAAACAAATAATGAATCTATATTTTATTTAGTATTGACCGAATTCTTTTTGAAAATGATTACTTACAAAAATTTATTTATTCAACAAATGTTAAACTGAGTTAAAAGTTTGTTGAAAATCCATTTAACCACAATGAATCAACAATCATTGCTATCAATGATTTTTTTTTCTGAGAAATGTAAAGATAGAAATCTGGCCTTGAATTGTGTTTGGTTATCATTTCGGAAGAAAATTTATTTTGAAACCAGTTTTCACCCACTTACGATTCATAAAAGTTTAATGACAAGTAATTAAAACACTTCAATTTTTTTTACTTTATGCAAAACAAGCTGCCGCGAAAGGGAATTCCGAAACAAAATGAGGAAATTTAACGAAAAATAGACCTGAAAATTTTAATTTTCAGTTAGTTGCCAGTGGCCATGACTTAGTACTGTTGCCAGTGGCAACTTTTTCATCAAAACTAATGATTTGGTGACCGATATCGACAGGACTTTTTCATTTAATTGCAAACTTTTTTTTGCACGGATTAAACTTTACTTTAAAAAAAAATCATGTTAGAAATAATCTACGGCCATAAAAAGTTAATTCGACAATAAAAATAACATAAATCTGTGACAAAATTTAGTTTAACATACTGACTTGAAAGAACTTTATATAGAATATTTGGGAATTCAAAAGGAATTTTATGTGTACATTACAATTTTCAAATATGCGAACTGAAGAACTCCCTTTTTACAAGAATCTTTCCACAGTAAAGTTTAAAGTTGGTTTTACTAAAAGAATTTTTTTTATTTTAAAGATAAACTCTATGAAGGTTGTAACGAGTAGATTCAAATTATTTAACTAAGTTTAGTTGTAACTATCCTTTTCCCTAACACTAAAATCTTGGCAACTTTGGGTGAGGGATTTTCGTCAGGTGCCCAGCTAGCGGTTAAGAACCAAAAACTTTTAATGTCGGTGTTTACAATAAAAGTCTACTCAAATTTGTGTTTATACTAACGTACTTTTCTCCCTGTTGGAAAAAAAAAGAAGAAAAGTTTTCGTTTTATGTTTATTTTTTTATTCTGCATTTTTACACCATTAATAAACAGTACTGTACTACTTATAAACAGCACTGTACTATTAATTAAGATATTTCTTTGAGAACACATTTTTGTCATCCATGCTAATAAATTTGCTAACACCGTTTGACATAGAAAGAAAGAATAAAACGGCGTTTAGTGGGAGGCAGTGTACCCATGCATGGGTAGTTGTCCAACGACCAGTTCACTGGTGACGTACCTTCTGACTGTCATTTTGCTTCTTATGCAAATGTCCTGGATCATAGTACACATGGTGCTATGCTAAGCCTACTGTTGACCCTGTAAGTTGTTTTTCCGGTATACCGTACCACACACCGAGTAGTTCCCCGCATTAGTTACGTTTTCGAAGAGCTGGACTTGCTCACACGCTTGATATTTTAATTCTTTTTTTTGCTAAAACGAATAAGAAATGAGAACTTACTTTGTCGACGTGTAAAAGCAATATTTATAAATCCTGTATTAACAAGCAATCAATATTTATACCACTAAAAACTACAGGTGTGAATTTATGGGTGTTTCAATTGAATTGTATTGAACTTATGTGAATCTTACTAAGCTTAAGAAAAATGCTTTAAATTATGATTGTACAAAACTATTTTATGCAATAAATAGTTTTATGCAATAAATAGCAATATAGTCTTATGTATAAGGACTTACGTGCTAGTGATTTAGGCATGGTAGGAGTACAAATGAATGAATGCAGATTTCTTTGTTCAGCATATCCACTGAGAGCCATGACACCTCCAAAAAATGTAATATGATAGATGTACGTAAAGAGTACGGCCATTGCAGTATAGATACAGAAAATACGGACACAGGGAAATGGCGTGATGACACCGATCCAGAAAGATATGAAATTTGTTAATGATGTTATGGTGATTGATACCCCTGCATCCGCAAATGTGATGGACAGTCTTTCGGGAACACTCAATCTATCATCTGTTCTACGCCAGGCAGCCAGTAAGACGAAAGTGTCGTCCATTCCAATCCCTAAAAATTTAAAATAGAGAACAATTAATATTTATTTTCTTCACAAAATATATTTCACTTCACAAATTAAAGAAACCTTCTGAATAACTTTTGATCTAATGGTGGAGTGCAATTATACAATCTTAATGATAAGTAGAGGGAAACCTATAGTTTGTTTATGGAAAGAACTCCCCTCGCCACAAAATCGAAGACAATTTGCTCATTTTATTCCCTTTCTTTGGCCGATACGAGCCAAATCCTGTTTAAATATTGACCTAACTTGAAATAATAAAACTTCGTAAGCATAATCTGTTATGCTTACTGTTATGCAAATTACTGCTCAATGCATTATCTGTTATGCAAAATACTGCTCCAGACGAATAGCAATGGAGTTCTTTCGATAAACAAACCATAAGACGTGATATAAGAGAAGATTTCCTATTTATTAACCCACTATTTTGTTTTTCTTTTTTAAGTCTTTTGTTTCATTTTATTCATTAAAACTTATTTTACTGACAATTTTAAACTTAACTATCAAATTTTATTCTTCAGGCTCTTACTATTTTGTAGAAATAATCTTGACGAAATTTATAAAAATATTTAAAAACTTATAATTTATACTATTTAATAAAAGTCCCACACATTCTAATGAATAAATCAAACAATAAGCATTCCAAAATCGAGAGGTAATAAATAAAGAGGTAACTTGCAACAAATATTTCAAAATTATGATTAAGAAATTTGGTGTTCACTTAAATTAAATCATCATGGGTTGCAATAGTATTCACGCAAAAATTAAATTTAATTTCTGAATAAGATTATTAAGTTATGAAGTCACATATGAGATCTCATTAACCTCTGAACAACACAACTTCCAACACCGTTAAAAAAATTATGAAAATAATAATAATTTAAAAAATAATAATAATAATAAAAGAAAAATCTTGACTTAAAACAGAGATGTATTACTGTGTATCGTGTTATTTGTTTATTTTTATGATTTTCATTAGAAAGAACATCCTTTTTATGGCTATCACATTCATGTATTTTATAACTGAGGAACTTCTAATAAAATGAAACATAAAATAATTAAAAGCAAAAAACTTTCCAAATAAGTAAAAGAATAAATGGAAAAAAAAAAGGAAAAAAAATCTGAATAATGTTAATGAGACTTTCATCCAGGTTTCTTGTGTTCCTCAGTTGTAGTTTATACCATTGTGTAACAGTTTTACTGCCGGTTAAAGCTTCATTTTACGATTGAATAGAATAAAAATAATTATAATAGTAGTTGGTCATTAAAAAGAGCCTACTTTAAAAAAATTTCCTGTAAATTACGTAAACTTATGCTGTAAAATGAATATTTTATTTATGATAAATCATTGTAGTTAATAATTTGCTATAAAAGATACTAACTTTAAAAATAACTATAGAAACTCTAACTTTACAAGATTTTCAGATGAAATTTGAAAAAAAAAATGCTAATTTAATCTTGAAATAAAATAATTCGTATTTTTAAATTTCAAATATAAATTTATCAGTTGTCTGGTGAAGGCTTGTTATAGACATTACGTAATGAAAGGTCAAGTATTAGTTGTTGTATAAAACAGTAGATGGCAGCAGCAAACGAAAAGTTAGTCTCAACTTAAAATGAATAATTCAATGCCTTTTCTTTTTCTCATTATACTGGTGGTATATGGCAATGTACTTTGAATGATTTTCAAATGAAAGACTATGCAATTTATTTTGTCTTGATTTGATTATTATATAATAAATGGTACGCTGTTAAATTAATAAAATAATTATTAATAAATTAATATTTTTAAAAAATATTAAAACTAAAATCTTTACAGCGCAAAATTTAGTTTATAGAAAATATGTTCAGAAAATCATTCCAATTTTCATTAAAATCTTCAGAAGTAGTGAATGTTTAGTTAAAAAGTTCTGAATTATATTGCTCATAAAAACGCAATTGCAGTTTTAGCCAATAGATGGTAGCACTGTTTCGCATTTAAAAAACATTTCGTCCATCCACCCCGCTTAACTCCACGCTCAATTTAAAATTATTTTTAAAAATTGTACAGAATTAAATAAATAACTAATTCCAGAAAATTTTTATTGATTTATACACACAATGTACTCTCAATAAGTTTACCTCTTAAAATTATTGTTATTTCAAGAAAAGAAAAGTTGATAATTTTTCTAATATAAAACTTTTCGATCGTCTTTTTAAAATATTAAACAGAGGTAAATTTGCATTCCCATTACATTGAATATTCATAAAATTTTTTTATTGTTAAATAGCTTTAATATAAATTAATATAATGTTAATAGCGTTGAGTGCGAAATTTTTGAATCATATGATATTCGTAACAAGAAGAAAATGTTTTACGCAATATGACTGATATTCAAACCAATATTGAAATACAATAAACTAATATCTGTTAAATAATTTAGAAGAAATCTATAAAATACATATTATAAAGCACATTTTAAAGGTTTCTAACATTGTTTTTGTCAAATATCAACCGGAATTAAATAAAACAGGATTTGCAGCAAGATTTGCAATGTTAAATACACGCTTTCATTAAAATCTGATACATTATCAGATCATATTTTTATTTATGCTAATTCTTATTCTGATATCATTATAATTTATAAAATGCATGAAGATTGCCATTATTGACATATCATTGCTGATTAATAGCAAAGAAGCTTAGTTAGAAGCTAATGATATCACTTAAATTTTGGACACAGTGTCTGATGACAATGCATAAACACGTAAATGTTTTTTTTCTCTTTTTCTTCTTCTTAACTATTCAATTTATTCGCTTTTAATGAAACATATATATTACAGAATTTTTAAGAAACTGAAAACAAACTTTGTTACATAAAAAAAGTATATATAATTAAGAATCATTTTCATGATAATGATAAGTACCCTGATACTTAATTATGCATAATATATATACAGTACAGAACCCGTTATCCGGAAATCAGAAAACCGGAAAACCAAAAAACCGGAACGAAATTCGAGGAATTTTCCTGCCATTTAAAAAAAAAAATTTTTTTTTCATCATTGATTTTAGGATTTCTCTTTCTTTTTTGAAAGATTTTTACCCTACCCTCATTTTGGAAATAATCATTATTAACCATTCATATTATTCAATCATTTGGAATAATATTACTTCATCGTTTTTTTCTTCTTTTTAAGATTATTTCCAAATTTTTTTTTTTAGTTGGGTTTAACAATAAAAAAATTTTTGTAGCAATTCAGAAAACCGGAAAAATCAGTTATCCGGAATAGCGATGGTCCCGATCATTCCGGATAATCGGATTATTTTACAATGGNATTTTACCTTAAAATCCATTTTTACCGTAAAATATTAAACCGTAATTTTTGCAGTAATATTTATTTAATTATAGTGATTCAGTGATTTTACGATAATTATTACTGTAAAAATTACTGTCCATCAGATTTTTCATTCCGTAACATCCGGTAAAAATGGATTTTTCAATAAAAAGTACAGGCACTCTGAGTGCCGGTACTTTTTACCGTAATTTGATGCGACATTTTTTAACAGTGTATATAAACAATAAAAACTCTAATTTTTTATTTTTTATTGTTAAAGTAAATAATTTTCACCTACGAAAACTACATATAGGTACTTTTTGTTTTAGTCAATCTTTTTCAATTGTAAAATTTGTAAATTAGTTCCTTTCATTTTAAAAGATAATTTTGAAGCATGAAAATTATATTTTGTTTCGTATTGTTATCGAAAAAAAAAAGAGAATTAAATAAACATTATTTTTTATAAGCTTTCGGTTTATGTATTTGGTACATGGTATAGTCATTGTTGATCATATGCCATGGCAAATTATTTTTCATTTGACTCTTTCTATTTTTTGTTCAATAAATACGTTTTTAAATGGAAAATCTCATGCATTCCCAAATCATGTACCAAAATACGAAAAGATGAAAAATAATGATAATTCGAGCAGAAACTAAAAAGTACTTAAAGATTTTTATTATTACTTTTATAAAAGCAAAAAGGCGAAAGTATTTATATCTTTTTAAGGAGGTATTTCTTTGTATGGAGTTCACAAAAACAGAGGAGAAAGTTAACAATTTCCTTCCAGAAGAATATTGAGGGCAAGGTCGAGAGAAATTTCATCAAGGTAGAGCTTGTTCGTTATGCTCCGCTTCACAATACTTGGAAATAATATTATTTTGCTTTCACTGAATCACCAGAGCGTTTTAATTTGAGGGGGGGGGGAAATAATCCTGTCGAAACATCCCTATTACTACATTCTAATGTAATTAAATTGTCTAATGATTTCTGCTTCAACCATAGGTGAAGAATCGTTACAGAGTGAGCAATTAAAACACGGACGACTTAAGACCAATCGATGATGACACATAAGATTTGAAACGACGTGACAAAATGAGTAATCTCTTTTCTAATGGATTACACCTGAAAATTTAAATTTTCAGTTAGTAGCCAGTGGCCGGTAGACTCTAATAACTTAGTAGTCACTTTTTCCTCAAAACCTAATAGGTAGGTGACCAATATCGATAAGTTCTATTCATTTCATAGCCGTTTTTTGCTTGAATTATTATATATTCAAAATTATTATGTTTACAAAAAGTGTATAATTCTATTATATACACTCATGGACAAAAAAATTAGCGCACCTAGAAGGAGTCGTCAAAATGAAACGAAATTTTACATACGTAATCACTACTTTGATATAAGTAAATGATTAGAAAATCAAAGATTATCGTTCTTCTTTGTTTTTCGAATGATTTACTTATATCAAAGTAGTCATTACGCATGTACAATTACGTTTCATTTTGGCGACTCCTTCTAGGTGCGCTAATTTTTTTGTCCATGAGTGTATTTTTTGAAGAAGAAAAATATAATAGAAATAATCTACGCCTATAAAAAGTTAATTTATCAATAAAGATATGAAGAAATTTATAGTTAAACATATTGACATATTGACTTTGACTTCACTGTGCA